TTGAAAAACTGCCGTTTATATGTTACCGTTATAATACAACAATTACCATATTTTCCTTCATATAAACAGCTAGATATACACTCGCAAGCCGATTTAACTGCCGTCATTCTGAGAAAACGCTAATTTAACGTACATATTAAATAAAATCACTAATCTAACAACATTACGATCGCATGCGGTACATAAGCAGTAAGTCATTAAACTTCATACATTTAACTAGCAGACGACAAACATACATGGCCCTATACAAGGTGCGGTTTAGAAATAGAATACGTGAATTTGATTCACAAAGCAAGCTTCTCGTCACATTTAGCTCATACACACAGAGATTCGATTGCGCTTTTAATAAACACGTATAAAACTAAATAAATCACAGTGAATACCTTGCAATTGTTTATTTTCCATATGTCATTTATATATAATATTGTTGTTTGTAATACAGCATTTATCTTTGGTTGAGTAATTGACTTTTTGGTATTACCTTGAGCATAAATAGCCCGTTTTCCTGTGTGCAGATATCAGATCGGTTTAGTGTACTCGAACTGAAACAGATTTATCACACCTCTCTGCAGGTGTACAAGGAGCCGTGGTTGGAGTGGGAATTCTACATGTCCAGTTTTTTCGGGTTCTGAAGCCAAGTTTTCTCGCAGTTCGGTTTAAGTTACTTCCGTTAGCTTGCCAATAAGACAAGCTAGAAAAGAGAGGATGGCGACACAGAAGAAAAAAACGTATAAAACAGTCAGGCGAGGAGTACTGCAGGTGGATGAACGTTGATTGGTAGCTACATTCATGCATTTCAACGATGCAGATTGTGTTCGCGTACCTGTCTGCAAGTAAAGATCCCTCTAGTTCTGAGGACTGTCATCTATTTTAAATGATAACCATAACATTTTTTTTTACTTGTATTATTACCGCTAATAGAAAGGTAAGCGTTGCATAGGCGTCTCCTAGTTGGGTAGCTTTCACCCAGTTTAGTTGCCTCTGGGTTCCACTCTATCTGGTAGTAGTGTGGCCCTAGGAGCGAAACCCAAGGAAAAGGAGACATACGGCGGATACGGCAGCGAGCTACTTAGCTTGGCCCACTTGATTCTTATTCATTTGTGTATCCGCAGAAGCAGTAGCCTCGCTGATGTAGTTTTGTGTCAATACAGGGATGACAGCAGTACCTGCTTTTGCGCAAAATAGAAATTACTGCCATATATATTTGGCCGTAATTCTAACTTCTATATATATATAGATATATATATATATATATATATATATAGGGGGAACTTGACGGACTCTAAGTTAAATGATCCTTGAACTCGTCGTCGTTTTAAAATTTCGCTAGTAAATAGTTGAGTTTTCTATAAATTTGCGAGCGAAAACCGCTCAACCTTATGTACGACGTTGAGTAGTTGAGAAGGAAAACATCTTTTAGCCTCAAAAATGAACGTCAAGTTTTTGGTCCCTGAAGGCGGAAATTCGTCGAAGATTAGTAAAATCATCAGGAGGCCTTAAACGAACGGTGCAGTACGTCAATGGTGCAAACGTTGTAAGAATGGGGACTGGAGTGTTGAAGAAGTAAAGAGGAAACCAGATGTCGAGGTTCGAAGGGTAGGAACGCATTACCGCAATCGAAGAGGTCGAACAGGCTTTATGCGAAGGTAGAGCTTAGCGTTTAAGGGCTTTGTCGGCAAAAACTGGCATTACACGTACAACGTGTTACAGAATCACAATTCAAATATTTAAAATGGGGGACCTGAGTAAAAAATGGGTGCGCCGTAAGTTGACTTCAGGCCAGTCGGATGTATTCCACGTGCGCTTCGCGAAACTGTGATCAACAACAAACTCGCCTGGGTACAGTTGCAATAGACAAGGGATAAATCATTCTTCACCATCAGCAGGAGACGAAGCAGGCGAGAGAGTGGCGTCGCCTTCGGAGTTCGGTGGCAGTGTAGAGTAGGTGTAGGCGTAAAGTGGTAGTAGTAGTACTTTCATTGGACGTCAGAGATATCTGGAACTATGAGATAGCCGCCTAAAATGAAACAATGAATGCGACCCACTACTTCAAGTTCCTCAAGAAGCTTAAAGGACCATTGGCACGGCAATCGAAAGCGCGCACTCTGGTTACCTGGCGACAATGTCAGACCTGATCGCCATGCTTAAATTACTTTTTAAATTGAGTAAAGCAATGTCCTATGTTGGTTGCAACCTGTTCTCGATCTCGGTCCTTGTGACTACGGGCCTTTCTATATGCCAAAAAGAGCAAATGGTAGGTAAGCATATCCCACTATCGATTTACTTTGAGAAGCCGTGTATAGGGAGATAATATAATGGTTTGCGAATATCAGGCATATGGTTGTGTAGATGTTGTCATGCCGATGAGACAATTGTGTAAAAGATACTGGGAAGTACTTTTACGCATATTGCAAAATTATCATCTTAGCTCAACTAGTTCAGGAGTAATTCCAAAGTCCGACAGATTTGCTCGTAACGGTTTCGTATAATTCTAATTATATACTATCTATCATGTACCGTTTAGATGCTGCTACTTTTAATCGTAATAGCCTGTTTCAAATACTAAAATTCAAAAAAATTCAGTGATCGGAAAACGCACTATAATACATGTATAATCTATTGCTTTGTTAACTTGTATATATGATTGGAACTAGAAAAACTTCTACTTTTTTGCTACCTTTACCTTTATTTCATAACGCTTGTATCTAATGCATTTGCAGCCAGATGCTCTTACAGAGGCTTCATTGCGTTGCTTTTGGATTATGAAATGTTTCAAGAAATTTATAACTGTAACTTTTAAGCCTCGCTAGGAATTTTGCTCCTTGTCGCATCCATCGTTTACCTCCTGTTTTAGATGCAAGTCGTTGTTATGTAGAACCTTAGTATGCTCGTGAGAAGAAATAGTTCGCACTGAAAGCCACTTTCTACTATCTTATGCAAAAATAATATTAAATCCCTTATATGCTTCGTTTCTAGTGAAACTTATTATCATCCTATACCTTTTTTTGTGTGTAGAATACACACAATACGGAGGAAACAGCTAGAACACAAACCGTTAGCACATTGAAGTCTAAGTTTTATAACACACTCATTCCCTTAACCGCTCGTTGTAAGAATTATCGTTTTAACAATACAGGAAGCTGCCTTTTACGAAGCCCTTACGATTTTCCTCCAACTCTTCTAATAGGCTCTGGCAAGCATATGAAACATTTTTATGAAGCGGCTTTGATCGTTAGTGTTTTACCTTTATATAAGGAACAAGGTGAGTCCTATGAACTCACGCTCTTTAATAGCCTGTAAAATATTTGCGGATGGAGAACTTCATGTGTTTCATTCTAAATGGCTCCCAGTCTAGTTTGTTGCCAGTTCTACGTAATTGAAGTTACTCAACTTAGTCCAATTGGACCACATTGAAACTTCTACACGGCCTTACGCAACGAACTCTAGCAATCTTGCAGCAAACAATTATCTGTTCGCTAAACACAGCGATATGGGGAAAAGTTATTTGTCAGGACGTGTATATGCAATAAAACTATCCGAATGTCGCAACGTTACAGAACCTCATCACGCAAACGTACTCTATGATAAAGAACTAGGGATAAGTGCTTGTTTGCCCATCTGCGCAGGTGTCAGTGGATTTCAAAGCAGAGTACGTGGTTAAGCCGACCATTGAGCAGTAATAGTTGTCGTCATCTTTAATCATCTTCTATTTGAAACTGACATGGAGTTTCCTGAGTATGTAGGATCAGCTTACGACGCGATGTACCGTTCTGTGCTCGGTAAGGAGCTTTCTACCAGCATGTGACGCGCGCTATTTTGATAGTATGTATCACGCGGCCCCCATGTTAACGAGCTGTACAATACGGTAGTTTCAACTGACATATCAATTGATTGGAGTTGTTTTTCTAAAGTGAGGGTAGAAGTCAGTGAAGGTCAGATTACAGAAATTGCATAATGTCGATAAAATAAAAAAAAAAAAAAGATTTTTTGGGCCTAATAGAGTTCTCAGGGTCATGAACACACCGATGAGCGGAATATTTACCATAAATATTTATTAATTAAAAACACTTATTCGTAACAAAAAGGCTGTTTAGGTATTGGTGCTTGATGTAGTCCGTATCACCAATACTGTCTTTTATATTTCGAGTCGCTATTTGAGCGTTGCAAATCCAATAACTACAGCTAGTGTCATCAAATCGTGGAGTTGTTACGTCAGACGCATGTTAACATACTTCTCTGTAAAGAATAGAAATTCAGTATATTCTCGCTCAACGGCAGTAGGGATGCTCGTTCGTCCGTCTAATTGTTTTACGTACATTTTATTATTCTAAGAACTTCGTCGAACTCACAAACCTTTCGAAAGATTGCTTGACCCCGTAATTAAAAACTTAAATTGCGATCCATTGAGCGTCATAATCTCGATGGTCTGCTTCAGCTGAGCCCTAAACACTCAGTTGTCAACGATCAACACGACATCAGCTGTGACATCGTCATGATGAGTCTTTCTGCTGCTAACAGAAACAAAAGTCTATTATAACAATGACCTATGTGCTTATCTGTTGAATAAACATAGGCGCATGGCAGACGTGTTTGTTGATCGTTGTGTCGTGGCAAAACATCTTGTTTTAAATGAAATGAAAGCCGTCATTAAGTCTTGTCATTTTGCCAACATAGAACGAAAAGATAGCGTAAATACGAAAGTGATGACACAGGCCAATCCTTTGGACTGAGGACACCCTCCGTTCACAACGACTAACAGGGATTCTTTGCAACCGCTCCTCGTCAACCAAAGACGAAAACACTAGACGATAGTTGAATTTTGTCTCTGCTACGCAAGTTACTCGAGTTCAAGGTCCTTCGCTCAAGCCGTATAGCTTGGGCGCCTGTGCCTTCTCGAACGTTGCGACTATTACTGTTTTTGTCTCTGCAAATAGTATTTAATTGTAAACTCTTCATGGAGAACAAATCGTCTGCTCACATTTTGCCTGCTACCGCCGCCATAAGGCAGCCGTACTTTCGAGGTAGTTGGGTGGCGTAGGGGAGAGTTTGGTCATTCCATCATCCAAATATTCATGTGGGATTACCTCCGCTCAAGAGGTTCAAGATGACTGAGTTTTCGGTAGGTTGAACGACGTTTGACGGGGCCAGGTTGAGTGTAGCTCTTACGCGCTATTTACATCTCGAGACGGTCGAGCGCGCTTGGGTTCACGCTCAGTGAAGTTTGCGAAGCTGTGTTAGTGATTGCATAGCAGTGCCCATCTATGTATTTGTCGTGGATAAGTGGAGCCAAAAAGAAATTTTTATTGATTAATAAGGTAATTCAATAATTGAAGTGTGCACTTATAATTAGAGAGAAATTAGAGCTATAAGATAGGTGGCCCTTGAATATGTACAGAGTAGTGCGTTACAAATGATTTTTGCTTCTACAGTAAAGAAACAATGAACACTGAACGATGAATTATGTACAAGCATCGGTTAAACTCAAAAACATAGCCGCTGATTAAAGAGACCACTGATAAAATTCACTTACTTAAACTTATTCGAGATGCTGATTTGATAAAACAATAAAAATCAGTTAGTGTTAAAAATATTTGAAAATGTAATTTTAAAATATATTTGATTTTGGAATATCTATTATTCTGTAAAATAATTTATGACAATTTTACACAAAAACTGATTCCGTACTTCTAGTCCCTTCTATGGCTTTCACATCGTAACACAAATCGGTAGCGAGAAAGTGACACGTATTTTTGATCGATTGACTTTACTAGTTTGTTCATTTTCTTCGTCATGGCTTCACCAGGGTCTTCGGCTTTGGTCTTCATCCTGACATTAGATAGTTCAATGACCTGGGCCGTAGCAGTATATACGTGCACAGAATATTTCACCACTCGATTGCATTATGTGTGGTCTAATACAATTAACTAATAGTACCTTCAGGAATAATGCTTACTCTGTAGTATTTGTTTTGTTATAGCAGCAATGACTTTCATTTTCTGTTGCCACTTCTGGCAATAGAAGAAAATACCCCTAGCCAACGACGTACTGTTCTCCTTTAAATCGGAGAGATTCCACTTTGTTACAAAAAAAAAAAATTTCCATGAACGTCCTAGTTACTTGACAATATGGTGACGTTGTGTTATCCTGGGGTGTCGTTTAAATGGGACTACTTAATTTACCGGCACCCATTGTTGTTTTAATTCTTTTAAGCTGTGCTAATCTGCGGATTTTCAAAGAGGGTCTCACAGTCCTTATACATCGCATCATCTCATAGAATCCACGTGAAGGTAAGATAAAAACAAGACACTTATTGGAATGTTGAGTTAATGAATCATTACTTATTACCTGACAGGTACAGAGTTCGCCGGGATCATGGACTAAAACCGTTATCGCTGCTACATAATGCGAAATCAAACGATACCCCCACGCAGCTACCTTACTTGATAGTAACAATAATAATCATAGTAATAGTAATACAGATAACAACAATTAAATAGTCATTGTACTTTGTATGATTCACTTTAGCCCTCTATTTAGAATAAACCTGCGAAAAATAATCCGCCATATATTGCCAAACATGATAGTAGTCACATAGATAGTGTGGTCTGGCACAATGCACATCCTTACGCCGAAGTTCGCTAATTTTCCGCATTGCTATTAACACTGTTGTTTGTTGTTGAGGGTGATGGTAATTGTCGTCCTATGGTGACGCGGCGGTTCGGGGTATCGGATTGAGGAGAGCACCAACGGTGGTACGACGAGAATACCGCGAGTGTGACTACCGCCGCACAGATCGTTGTGTGCAACCGTTATTATAAGTGAAACTGTTATTGAGGTTATATACGAGCCAGTACAAGGCCACGATCCGATGATACGCCGTAGCGCCAAAGATGCCATTAAGAACAAGCTCCTGCGATAGCCCTCAACAATAAAGGGCGTAAGGCCTCAGGCCAGGGGAGAAGGCTGGGTCTTCGACACTCAACACCACTGAGCTCTACTGCTAGCCTGGAGTTGCAACAGGAGCTGAAAGCAATCATTAAACAGTGAGAAGCAGCTGTCTATTATATTTGCAGCTCATCATCCTTAACTAGCTAACCGAATGCCATTTATCCTTACATTTCTACCCTGTATCCATATATTTCATTGCTTATATGCTGTAAGTGTACATAGCAGCAGACGCAAAAGCAATACAGGCTGTGGTGGCGCCAGCGGTAACGACAACCATAGCAGTTGTATTAATAGTAGTTGTGGTGGGAGTGATGGTCGTGATGGCAGGAGCGGCAGAGGGCACAGGAAGACGTCACAAATCAACGTCTTTCCCTCTCTCTCTCTCTCTCTCTCTCTCTCTCTCTCTCTCTCTCTCTCTCGCTTGCTCGCTTATACGCTATTGTTATGCCAATAATGTACAGCTAAAAGAGGAAACAAATACTGTTTCTAAGCATTTGTAATCGCTACCGTGTATGCCGCCGACGTATTCCTAGCTACATTAGCTACCGAACCAGTAATACTAGCGACAAACCGAAATACTTGTCACTATTTTATAAATAATACGTTACTCAGGTGATTGCCTTTTTATAAGCTTAAAACAATTACCCGATCTAGTAAGCTTTTTTCCACAAGAAAAAAATTAGTCCCGAATTCTTGCTAAGAAATATCCCGTGCAATCTATAACCTATCGATCGAAAATATCCGACATCTTCGCTAACGTTTTTCCTCGGCATTAAGCGACCGTTGTAGTTAAAAGTCCCTAAAACACCCATGGAGTCTTCAGCTTTCGGCAATTTATCAAGGTACTAAATTGGGTAGAAAAAAATGTTACGTGATAAAGCCTCTACAACTGGCATTTGTTTCACCATTTTATTAGCTTTATTGGACCTCATTCATTAGAGTTTGACCACTAACTAAAGAAAGAGAGTCTGAGATTTGTGCAGATGCCCGCGCAGACTCTTCTACCATAATGAAAAGTTTTTAAGCAACTTTAGTTTTTAAGATGAACAATCAAGCTTAGTATATTAAAGTTTTTCATTAGTCGACCTATTACTACTAGTTGGTTTTAATTAACTGGCTTCATATGGGTGTCAAAGGAAGAGCAGTTTCTGTTTTAAACGAACATGTCGTAACTTTTCAACTGAGGTAGTAGTGCTCACAGCATCAATTATTTTTCTAAATGGTATCCAACAGCTTATTTTTTTGTCGCTAATTATAACTCGAAACGAATATCGGCGCTTTATAATTCTATCTGAGAAAACTGTTTTATCTACTGAGCTCTATCACGCTTAACTTCGAATTTTGCAACACCATACACAGCAGAGATAACTTTTAAATCTTCTTAAAAATTTCTTAGGTAAAACCTTCTGTAAAGGGATTCTTTTACTACGTCGCATAGAACATCCAAAGCCAGATTATATTTCTGTTCTGCCGCTAACGCCGAAGCTTTACGAGTCAAAAAGGTAAGGCCGGTTTGAAACAGTTGGAGAATTTCAGCCAGAGCGGTCCTTTTTGTTATCATCAAGATGAACCCCGCCAACTCAGCATAGCCTTCCCCAATTTCAGATGAACGAATAGTTCGTGGCGGCGCTGTTGTCGTCATTCGTTTTGGCCAAAATTGTCATCTACTACGAGAACGTTGGGCCATCACCGAAGGTGAGACAGCGGGCGGAGACAACGCCCCCTGTCGGTTACCAAATCTCTAGAAGTGAACGAAAAAAGAAGCTGCAATGGCCGTGCGAAGATTTTCCACTACATTAAGTCCTTGTAGATGTTTTCATTCCAAAACTCTGTGTTCTTCTACTCTGCATTGATGCGTCAGCGGGTTCAGCCGGTCTCGTCAGCCAGCCAGACCGACCGACCGACCGACCGACCGAATACAAGACATGACGCTGTTACCCCAAATACTAGTAGTAACGCTCAAAATGAGCTCGGCGAATTCTGGCTAAGAAATAAGAAGAACTTGGCGGCGGCATCGTTGACATCGGCGGGCTTTTTGCGGTCATGCATTTACACATAGTGTACGTTTCATCAAGTCGTTTAAATCCCTAAAGCAAACGGAATAGCTGTTCAAGATGGTCAGTTAAGCCGCTATAGGAGTTACACTGAGATAGAACTTCTAGGAGAGTGTCGCTATAGGAGGATGATGCGGTCGCATGTATAAGGTACAATGGCCTGATGCAGCGTCCGAATAGAAGAACAGGAAAATTGAAGAGCATCGCAAAAGAGAGAGTCGGTCGGTCTGGAAAAGACACAGCCTTATGTTCTGCATAAGTGGAGACAAGATGGAAAGAATTCGGTAGACACGCTGTTACGCAAAAACAGAGCATTCAATGGAATTTCGTAGGACACTCCAAGGTTTGACACCTCTTACCAGTCTAATATGTAACCAGTTGAGCGGAAAAGTTAGAACTAGTGGCTGGCGCGAGCAATCGTTATAGATTAACCAGAGGTTGGTGTGCATTGGTGGATAGGATCGTAACATAAGGCTAATTGTAAGTATGGGTAAAAATAGAAATTAGTAATTTGTGCCTATAAAGCTACTTGCGTTTAATCGTAATGCAAAAAACTCATACATTATGGATTATTGATCTACTGCACTCCCTGTTTGGGCACTATGGGACACTTACGATGATAAAAAGCGCACGAAAATGCCCATCAACGCCATACAGGCGCCAAGGCCACGTTTAAGTGAAAAGTATTTTTCGATCCACATATTTTTTCGTAAAAAGTGATCGCTGTGTCATGATGCTACGTCTGTATGTTGTATAGCCGGGCGTATATTTTATTGAGCTTTTAGCCGATCATAGAAAAAATTCATGGCAAGACAAGAAAGTCGAACAAACTTATCACAGTGCATGCCTTTGGCGGAATTTCTGACGGACTGACGGCTACGAGGTCGAAGGATCGAGGTAAAAAAGATGAGAGTATGAGAGAATCACGAAGGTAAGTACGTAAATAAACTATAGTGCAAAGATATCGGGTGTAATTAACAAATTAGATGGCAACCTGGCTGGCTAATTGTCGCGACAAAACTCATACCCTACCTTATTTACCCCGCTCTCACAGCCCGAGAGCCAGCATTGTCGCTTAGGCCGTTCCTTGAGGCGAATGATGCTTATGTCTTCTGTCAGGATGAGAAGTGAAAACGCATGGCTGAATGTTGCATACTTGCGAGTCAGTCAACGGTCGTTGCAGCTTCTGGTGTCATCGACCACGATATGTCACGCATCGCAGCAACGTAGTTTATGTTCGTATCACCGTCCTCTATTCCCTAGTGCCGCGGTATCCTTTCTGCCGTCCGGATGCGCGCTTGTAGTCACGACTGTCCTGGTTATCTGTGCAGTTTCTGTTGCAGTTTCCTCTACAAAAGCAGGAATATTATGCATTCATTCAGTAAGCCTGTCTTGCCATCTTTGTGCATCGTCTTCACGCCCTCGAGTTACCCTTCCCCCACGCCGGTAGCGCCCGCAAGTATCGTACATTTCCTTTTGTCCACGAATCTCTATGCTGCATTTTCCTGTGCGGCATGCCGACGAGTTCAGGCTCACCGAGCATTCTACGTGGCGGTTTGTTTGTCATTCGGCATTGCGGTTTCCAGCCAGCTTCGGTTTTTTTTTCTCTCTATGCCTTTTACCCTGCTTCGTGCCTAGAAACGGATATAAATAATGCCGTCATATCGTAGCATGCGCTGCTAGCTTTGCAGCAATGGAACTCCTGCGCTGGCTTTTGACCGGCTTCTTTTCCGCTTTGTCACTGAACTGCGTCTATGTATGGCTGACCCTGATCTCATCGTGTCATCATCGCCGTGTCCTCGTCGTCACGCCGAAGGTATTCACAATTCTGCGCTCTCAGCGCGTTCGTACGTGTCCTTGGTCATCTCACGCTGTTACTGTCGTGGCTGGGTCTGTATTTCGTTGATTGCTTTCTTCACCTCTCTGTAACGACAAATTTATAGTGTAGTAACTGATGGGAAATTACATTACATTTTTCGTGAATAGCGTATCGAAGGTTTAACGTGACTCTACCGAAACGCCGTCAGGCTAATTCTTCACTTTTGTACTAGACTCAACCCATCATTAAAGATACCAGAGTGTATACCATGATAGGTTACTTCAAGCTTTTACTGTATTTTAATTATGGAAATGATCGCCACTATTTCTGCCTATTTGTTAGAATTATAGCTATTTCAAAGTTTAGTAGTAGATTCGGGTTCCAGGTGTATTATTTTTTGCCGCTTTTTTAAGTAGAACACGTTTGCTAGACAAATGATGAAAATGGAAAAATATTTCTAACGGTAAAAATTTCACGTCAACAACGTCACAGATCACAATGATCTATTCATAGATCTAACAAAACATTGTATAACCTTTTAGGTCTCCAGTGGAGAAAAAATGTTTTGATCTGCGCTCGAAATCGCGAGTAGGCGACCTTTGCTCCTATCAAAATTGCGGCTGCATATCGGAGATAGGTTAGAATGATTTGGCTATTCATTAATCACGACCATTCAGCTAATCGATATTCTCTGTGATTAGGGACCTTATAATTAGGGTGAGTGGTCAATTAATTAGAGTTAGTTAGCTTTAAGTGTGAAGCATGTCAGAAACAAATCAAGGTAAACAAAGTGGCAAAACTGTGCCAATACTGAACAAAGTCAATATTAAATTATGCAGCTGCTACCTTTTACTAAGTAGTAAAGCATGAAAAGCACACGAGACTACCAAATATTTACCATTCTGTCTAACCGACCTCATAATATCTTCCGCTATTTACCTCTATATACAAGAACCTTTTGCGTACCATAAGCACGTACAATCAATGACTCCTGCATTGCTAGGGCAGGGGGTAGTGAAATCCATAGATAATTTAGAAACATGCAAGCTGATAAAGTTAACAATGAAAACAGAAAATGAGCCATTGTTATTAGTTTAATATTTACAGTAACTGTTTGTTTCTACGATGGTCAACGTCATTCTCAATGAATACGCACAACCTTTCCAAGAAATCTACACAGTCGTTCCTACGATGATGATGGCGGTCTAGCAGTACTTGCTGCTTTGTTTGCCGGTTCAGGCAGCTTTCCTTCCGCAGACTCGGCCTTCTATAAACATGTAGCATAGCAAACCAGCCCAAGAGTTCCCTTCAGTGCGATATTCGCCCTTAGGTTAAATTAACAGGCGCTTCTCTTGTAACTACAGGGCCGAGGCCAAGCTTTGTTGGCGTGTCACTGCCGTTCTCTAATCCCCGATGATTAACCCAAAACGGAGACGCAGGTATCAGTAGCAAAGCCTGCACCGACAAAAAAAGGACAGCTAAGGTCTGTCTATCTCACTAGTAAATGCCACGAAAACTGCAGCAGATGGAGGAGTTTAGCACTATAACAGAGGCCTAAAGCACTGGTAGATAGACCAAAGGAAAAGTCTGTTGAGAGGTAGCACGGGGATGTTAATACACAGTAGGCGCCAAGCTGTGGGGCGCGAGCGCGGTAGGAGCAAGCTCTCGGTAAAGGGGCTGCGTCATTGTAGAGAATTACGTTTCGTCTGTTCATATACGTGTATACGTACTATACGTCAGTTCGACAACAAAACAGAAGCTCCTGGCCAATGACCTGCCGGCAGCTGATCTGAATATCCATGAAGAACCGACTTTTCCGGACTTAAATAAACCACTGGTCAGCCAGTGGTCGGTCAAAGGATTGGAGCTTTAGACAGAAGTTAGTGGGATTAGTTAACTCTTTGCCGTTGCCCGGTGCCTCCGCGCTGCCGTACTTAGAGAATACAGAACTTCGGTGGGGTTGAACGGAAAACCAGAAAGGGGCACTGGCAGATCGAGAAGAACTAACCTAGCCAATGTGCACTACTACCTATAACGCTAATAGACCGTCGGGCCGGTACTCTATTTAGTGCAGGTGTGCAGGGAGACGCCACTGGCAGTGTGGTGGCTACAAACAGAGCCTGCCATGCAAATGTAGTGTTTGCTGTCTCTGCTGTTGATACTCTGGGTTTTGTTGTTGGCCGACGATGGGTTATGGGGAGCTGGGACAGGCTGAGTGGGATGAAAGTATTACCGAAGGAGAACACTGCAAAACGACCACGACTGGTCTCTAATGAGGGCACAGATCCAACGAGGGATTTGCATGTATTCCCCTCTTAGTAGACCACTACTAACAGCTGCTAGAATCGTTGCAGGCAAAAACACATGAACAGCATGTTGGGTCGCATAAACCGTGTACCGAACTCCAGCAGATCGAGTTATTTATGTTTGCCTCTTCATACGGCTTACGACCAACATGGAAAACTTGCAACAAGTTCTCGATTGAAATTAAAAAAACGACCTACTAATGATGTAGTGTGTTAGGTTATGCATGCAGTAAACGTATAAGTTACATGCAATAGTTGAATGATCAGTAGGACAGCTAGTTTCTTCCTCTATGTTTTAGAATCTCTCCAAGATTCACAACTAGTCAAAATTACCATCATGATCGTTATTCTCAATGCAAAATATTAAATACCTGCTAATAGAACTCTATCAATGAAATCACATGTAAATGGGTAACGCGTTGGATAATCCTCTAAAGGCCAAGAACGCACAAACAAAGCTACACTATTGTCGATTACTTCATCAGTTCAATTGTGTACCTGTTTATCGTAGTGAAGGTCAAAGAGTTTAGCAAATTTGCCAAGGTAGGTACATGGCGTGGGACGTCTGAACATATTACATCTTATGATTGTAACCAAGAAAGCCTCTAACTGAGCCGTTTCCTTTGGCTGTTTAGATTGGTTCGTGAATTTATGTTTACGAGGCATCACAGATTAATTAATCTTCAATCAATGTCATTGATATGTCGTCATTTTCTAGTGAATGCTGAAACCGTATGGTTACTGGCATCAAGTTTGGGTTAACTCTTCCAAACCAGTTCCATCTGCCTTCGTTTGTTTAAATGACACTTTCACATTCTATTAAGCTGCTACTAAGTATGCTTTAACACTAATTCAAATGAGTTGTACCATATGCAACTCGTTGTTTTTTACAATTTTTTTTTGTCATATATTATCTAGTATATTGCGATATATATCAATAACTAGGAGAAAATATACTTAACGAAGTCACGAAGGCAGCATCTAGAAGAGATAACGTTCTATAAAAATAGACTTTCATTAATTTTAGACTATTCCTGGCCTGAACCATAAAAGACCTAAAAAGTTGCTTCTCTTTTTAGTTCCATCTCTGTCTCTTATTCAAATAGCGGTCGCGATATCATTTCATGCTAGACCTGGGGGTAACGTATGAAAGACAAATTGTATTCAATTAAAAATAATAGAATACCGCTCAAACCCTACCTGTTCGTGTTCGTCGTTTGTTTATACGCACTGAGGTTGATAGTACGAAACAGTTTTTAGCATCAACGATATGACGGTTAGTATTAACATCTTCCCCCAAAATTTAGCAATACATGCTGACATTATTGGCGTCGTTGAATTAGCTCTGGGCTTCTAATTTCGTGAATCGATCTTATCATTTCGTTATAAAATGTGGTAGGGTTTCGTAGAACCCACCCCACCGAACTGTGCAGGCGCGTACGCTAACCTCGAGCTGGCTTTAGTTAGTAAGGACGCTTTGAATCCTTACTTTCTGTGTAATTGTACAATATGCATGTTATCTCATTTTCATACGGGATAACCAATCTATGATAGGTCATAAAGCGTCTGGCCCATGGAAGAGAAGGGAACAATTCAGCTATAATCATTTTCGACCCGGTAGATAATGCATGCGTGCCCATAAAGCGTTCTATTACGAGTGCCTTTGCTATCGCGTAAACGCTAATGGCATGATAACAATCAAATTGTAATAAGGCGTAATCGCGTATTTCTAGGCAACCGGACTCAGGTTGAGCTGAATGGATAGGCTACGTGTACCCTGTACTATAGAGAAGTATGACACTTGTAAGTTAAGGCTTGTGTAGGGCCTCGAAAAGATACGCTTCACATACCATGTTGTAAAGAGTAGCACGTTTGCGTGAATTACGGGTGTCGTCTTACAAAGATTAATTTTTTTCCATAAGCTATCATTTGCATCTTTATACCACATCAAGGTAATCCTCCAAAATTAAACATCATTTCCACGAAGTGGTTCTCTTCATTTGTCAGTAACTTTAACTATTTTTTCACCTTTCCAGATGTACATTGTTAACGATGGAGCGACCCCCTGATTACTAAAAACCAGGCATTCCACTGTTGTAGAAAATCAATCCAGGCTACTGGTTGCCGTTCTTGGAATGACCATAACATTGCTAAAACTTCTAACATTGAAAAGTTTCGTAACAGCATCGATCCCGTGAATCTGAATGTGTGCGCTAGCCAAATATGGCTCTGAAAAGTATTGAAAGATGGCAAGTTGAAATCGATTGTACATTACTGCCAAAAATCCCACCTACAAACGCTCACATTATGATCCGTTGCATGCAAGGCAAGACTAAATAGCCTAACCTATTTTAAACATCTTTGACAAGCCCCCTCCCGTGTTCTATCCCGTTCCACATTTCATGTGATCACATCAATTGTGTTTACATCACTTGCAAATGTCTGTTTTTTCGTTCCGTTCGCTCGAAGTCTGTTTGCTCAGTCAGTGAAGACTCTGCTGTTCCATCACAATGGCCGACACTTAACTTGAAGAAGGGTTATCACCTTGTGAAACTTGTCTTGCCTACTATGACTACCCGTTGCTACCACCATCTACAGCATACGAGTTCAGCTATGGCGTAGCTTTAATGATCATTCGAAGTCGAGTAATGCGAACGAGTTTTCTCCCGCCGCTTTATCATGCGGCGGAGCAATTCGCAAAGCGAAGTTGTATCGATAGACTACTACCAGGGCCAAGTTACAAGGAGGACTAGAGTAATAGAAAGGAAGAGACCGTGCAGAACCAAACGCCTACCAGCAGGTGTATCGTGCAAACGCTACTGCCTGCTGCTGTACACTTATTGGTAGCGAGCATTCGCTTACCCGCGGCCCGGCCAACCATCAAACCGTACAACCGACGCCAAGCGGGCAACTACGCCAAGTGAGTGGCAAGACAGAGAACAAGTTCCCAGAAAGCCTGGCTGGCTATTGCTGAAAGGCCGCTCACGTCGAGCAACCGAGCAAGCCAGGCAGCTAGAGACTCTCATTCGAATCGAGACCATCCGAGGTATCCAGCCATCATTGAGGACGCGATAGAGGGGGATAGTGAAGGCAAAAAAAGAACGCTAGGCGTAACGGCTCACGTAGTGCCAAGGCGCCAAACAAAAGTTTTGTGCTTTGCCCACAAACTGCCTATACACGCGCCAGCCTCCTGGAGCAAAGGAAAAGTAAGATACAGCTAACCTATTTTCAGAATGACCTCCTTCCTCAACAAAGTGGAGATCAACTAGCTGACTCCCAAACAACTTCATCGTCTAATGTCACAGATAAATAGCATTTGCAGTATGTCAATGGATAGACATTTGTAATCTGCTTTTAATGCGTTTCCAGTTCGACCTAAACGGTAAACGTATACTTTAAGTAGAACCAACCCATATGCCTACTAGGGCAAATGTTTTTCGGAGTCGTGCAATGCTCAATGTTATTATAAACGAAATACTAGTAAACAATTTCACCATGACTAAAAATTAACCGTACTTTGTCAAACTTTCATTATTGGCCGTACCACTTAATTTTTTCTGATCTATGGTGAGTTGGTTGCTTAATAATGTTCAGCATAATTGTAAATTTTTTTTCTGATTTGTTTAGCTCAGTTAGGCACACGTCCTTTTTGAAGTTTCCTTCATCTTGGTTATGAGTCGTAGGTTTCAATCTTGATTGCGTGGTGTCTGCATTCTTTTGCCAGCTGAACAACGTTCGTATTTTTAACGTAAATCCGTTTTTGCGGAACGGATTTTGTCTATCTCAGCTATCACGTTTGCGGCAACAGAATCACTCGAATGGAATCCATACTTTACATAAACAAGATTATACAGCACAAGCGTAAAGCCAACGACTTACTATATCGAGAGGAATATGGTGATTGGGCACCATGTACATATATCATAAATATTACTGTAACCAGGTATATATATACGTGTGGATGGAGATCATTTATGAAAGGTACCAAGTACATACACCATAACAAAATAATGTTGCAGCACCGAAATACATATCCTTCTGTTTGATTAACCGCTGCGTCCCGTATTGAAATCGTGGATGCCGAGCGCGAATCTTCTATCATAAGGTAAGGGAATCTTGATTAGCAGTCCAACGCAACGACTTGTCCCACACGAGTCGGCTAATCCGTGTAGCATAAGCCGTGCAATGAGTGAGCAATGCTGACTGGAGTTTCCCTAAGCAGAACAACCTCTGACCTTTCCTTTACCCTTATCCGTAACCCGCCTTCATTCCACAGGCTTCAAAAGTTATGGTTGTTCAGTTACACTTTAACGCTAAGTCGCGGCGGGTTGCAGCTATTCATAAGCTCAAAAATGGATTTTCTGTCTATTTCCATGTATACATATGGCCACGTGTGCATGCTGAGTAAATTATCATACCACTATCAGTTGCGATCTCCAATTTCTCTGTTGCGAGATGCTCGTCACTGTTTTTGTCGTAGTAGACACAGTGGCGACGGAAGAAGGCTGCCAACCTACAACGCCCCTGTCGCCGCTTTCCTGGACGAAGTTGGTGAGTAGGAAGCGGGGAATGTTATCGGCGTACATGCTACACAGGCTACTCTTGAGCCGCTCAAGGAACGACTCCCTTGAATAGCAAATGCCCTGACAGCTGCTTTGGGGGCAGCATACCATTAACGCGGACGTTCTGCAGCACGAAGGAAATTCAAAGGCTCGACACCAATTTGAATCGGAAGTAAGCAATGGGTTTTTTCTATTGCCCTTCTTGTTTTGCCATGTCGACCTTCGAGAAGTAGAATAGTGGAACTGGAAATTGCTTGACGAGGGCTGCCATCAATAAGGACTTCGCTGGTAACTGCGAAGAGTGACGACAATATTCACGTATAGCATAATATGGACAAGAAAGCCTGAATGTCTAGCCTTTGTTTTTATTTTTCAACTGTTCTATAGCGTTACTACGCCATTATGTTCTGGCGGTAACTTTTGTTACTATACTGAAGTACGGTTCGTCATTAGAGAGAAATGTCGCAGTGGTAATTTTATGTGATCCTGTTTATCGATTTCTGTTCGCTAGCCAACATCGACTACAAGTAATATATGAGCATTTACTGGACAGACACGCAGAATATTCTTAATATCACCATTATCATTCATCCTCCGTATACCACCCAATTTACAAATGTGGCTAAAGGACTAAGTTTTTGAACTTGAGCGGCCGTCACCAATAGCAGTATTGTTCGTGTATTCAGTGCTAGTCAAAGAGTTGTCCATGAACTCACTCATTCTGTGTAAGGTTCACGTATAGTGGAATTATTTTCTTGTTAATCCATGCTGAGAGTATCTTTACTAGTCTTGTGTATTAATTCAAAGACTACAGATCCAATCTGGCAAAAACTGCGCGAAATTATCACAACGATGGTTTCCTCTACGGAAACAACAGTGCCCGTAAAGCCGGCTGGCAAATGCTGGAAGTATAAACCATCATGTGTTATAGAAAATCGCCAAATTTCTGAATGGTAAACGTAGACCAGTAATTGCACAGGGTACAGGCATCGTGGTATAATTTTTTTGCATCACTTCAATTGAAACTATAATTCCTTTCCATGAACTAGGGCAGACAATGCATTTCTTGACTTGACCGCGATTTCGCGGTGTATGACTTACCTAGCAACTGAGAGCTTATGCTGACAGCAAAAAAAAGCTTCACGGTGCTATACCAATTCCGACCTTGAGCTGGGGGCCGCTGTGTAAATAGCATTCTTCTGCCTTCCCTCATTCGCCCAAAGGTAATAGAACAAGGGCCGTACAGCATGCGATCGAGCCAAACAACGTGACTAGTAACAACAACGGCAGTAGTAGCAGTAGCAGTAGCGGGCAGCTAGCTCTATGAGGATCGAGGGCATCGGTAAAAGAACAAGTTGATAGTCTGGTGGGGCAACTTAGAAACACCGGTGATGCAAGGTCGCTCACTCTCAGTACCGCAGGATTCGGCCACGCTAAAGCTGTACGGAAGCCCTCTTTCTGGCGCTATACACGTGACTAGAACAGACAGTAAATGGTCGAGGTGAAAAGAAAGGAGAACTGCACAGCCTGTTGACGTCCTTGCAATTGCCATAACGGGCTGTAGACTGGACTGGAGACTGAGTAACGCTGTAAGCGAGGAGGCGTCCGATTGGGGAGCTACTGGTCGAACGGTCTGACGAGCCGACAAACAAACGAGAACAAACTAACCAAGAGCAAACTACGCGAGAGCCGGTAGACCTGTAGGCCTTTCTTTTTATGCGACGATCATAGAGCGGCTTTAGACGCCTGGAGGCTAGCTGAATTGCTCTTGTTGTTCGACCTCTTCGCTCTTTTGGTGTCGCCATAAATAAAACATTCGATCCCAAATGCGGGAGCAAGGAACCAGGAACATCCCCAGGCCCCACTAACCCCACACTTCTCTCTCTGTCGTCAGCCAGTTCAGATCCCCGTGTTCGAGGGGCAAAGTGACTAGCGGCACAAGTGCAACAGGGAGAAATCGAGAGCGTAAAGGAGAGAAGTAGATATAGAGTGGGAGGCAATGGAAATGTTCACTGGTCCTGACATCAATGCAGTCTAAGCGATAGAAAGAAGCAACATATGTGCAGAGTGAAGTATTGAGACCGCATAGTCACTACAGGGAAACAGGTATTTCAAGACAGACAACAGAAAACGCTCGAAATGAACGAGAACTCGCACGCGTAGCAGAAACCAATAAAAAGGCGAGCGTTACAAAAGAGAGAGAGAGTGACGAAACGAACAACATGAATGGATTCCAACGAAGAGCTGGGTGATGCAGAGCTTCAAAAACGGCGTACAAGATAGGGGAAAGAGAGGGATGCAACGAGACGGATGCTTTACTTCTGTGAGAAACAAGAGGGCCACCATGTAACCGACAAGTATGCGAATGACATACGCTGTTCGTACTACAATTGATATGTTAAGCTGGACGTTATTCGAGCCTTTTGGTTCAGGACAGCTTTGCGGGATACAGTCATACCTAGATATGCACATATTGTGGATCTATTCATGCGTCACTGGCAATGAGAGTATTTATGAAGATTCAGGATACCCGCTAGCCTTTTACTATAGTGTGATATGTAAGGTTTCCGAAAAGTGAAATTAATGGACTCCAAGGTCATCATCGCATTAATTGCGGTTTAATGGGGCAGCTCAAGTAAATAGAAACATATGAGCAACGATATTGGAAATTCCTAAATGCTGTAACCGGTATTCCTAATGCTGCATTCCGGTAGAATGCGCTTTATGGGACTAAAGATAAGACCGCGACATTTATATCAAATTCTATCAAGAAGGTCAACGAGCCAAGCTCGCGTCTTTCTAACTGTTTTTTAGAAACGTTCATGGTTTACTGAGATCTCATTATATTAAATCTATTCATGTGAAATTAGCAGATTCAGATCCAATTATGACAAATTAAAGGGACGTATCAGACATTCAAACGCTCAACCCTATTTGAAGTGATGCCGAGATAATGTAACTGTCCCGGCAGGTTCACCCTTCCGTTTCAAAGAAAGGAAAGGATAACTTTTCTATGTCAAAAAATATACTGCTATAATAATGACTGTAATGTATCGAAATGATACACATTTTTTGCCTAAGTCGGCACAGTATCCTGAGAAATCAATTTTTTCTCAAGAGAAGAATTTTCAGAGGCTTGTCGAAACGTCTACTTTCAGGCAGGACTATCTAATAGCTTAAGAGGTACACACACTGCATTTTTTGACAATGATAAAGTAGTAATAAGCAGTTTGCAGTTCTGCAATTAATTTTTTCATGTCGAACTTAAGCAGTGCCTGCTGTTTCCTGTTTTTCAATGTGAATGAATAGAGTTCGATAAGTATAGTATGGTATCTGAACTCTCGCGGTGGTCATGCGCACTACCAGGTTTTTCAGCAACAACGATCGAGAGTCAATTTACCGCCGATTACCTGGAGCATTTGGTTTCTCGATTTATTCACTTCAATGAAGCATAGAGTCCACCTTCTTCGGCGCGTACGCTAACACAGGATGAATCGGACTCGAAAAACAACTTCGTTATCTGTTATACCTTTGAAATCTTTTCTTCAGCCTGACGCTATATTGGCAATACTAGTTTATTTTCGAAAACAGTACCAATGGAAGATCGTTAAAAATCATTGACGATTTTTCTGCCAGTCCAAATTACATACTCCGGCGAAATACCAAAATAATGTATAAACGTCTGCTATATATATATATAAGCATACCTTTTGAACTAATGAATGTTGCACAATGACTCCGCCTTTTGTATAATTGTAATTCAGTATTCTAATTTTATAACTCTGCGTGACCTGAGCGTAGCTGTGTGAAATAGATAGAGCTTGTACAATATTTTCGTCCGAACTCTGCAAATTTTTTATTTTTATTTTTCAACTATTCTTTGTGTGAACAGGTCCTCGGGATTGGCTATTTGGTATAGCTTTATGGACCTAGCTCACAAGGAAAAACAAACGTACTAGGCCTTATTGGATTCATGTGGGGTTTCTTCAACAATAAAAAAACAATGAACTGTACAAGAAGCTGTTTTCCGCCTATAGACCCTGATAGTTCATAATCTTTTACAGTAATATCTTTGCCAGCGCTCAGCATGACTTGAGCCAGCGTGATTGCACATCTCTTGCTCTATGTGGTCACCATGGCACTCGAGAGGATGCGCATTAAACGTCCAGACCAAACTGTTCCTCAATCGTGGAAACCCCGCCAACCCTTGAGAGCTCATAATCGAATTTTCGAATTATCCACATTGCGCTCCAGGCAGACCTGATCCTGGATTTTGCTAGGATCATACGGTATGCAGTTCTGTG